CTTCTCCTTGAACAACTGAGCAAAGTGGTGCTTGCAGTAGAGAATACCATCCAATGCAGCATAGGACGATGGGTTGAGAAAGCAACCCCCATGAGAACACCTGAAGCAGGATTTATGGTAGTTTTCTCCCTCCACGGTCACCTGTTATTATTTTTGCTGAAAACAATCAGTTTCTTCATTCTCAATTTTGTCAGATTATTAATATACACAATCCATTTCTGATTCTTTCAATCAGTGAAAGGCTAGCATGTTCAAGCTTTCAGGAGAAGAATTAAGAATAAAGGTTACCTGGAGCCTTTCCTTTTTATTTTTCGGGGGGTAAATAAGATTATCTAGAGTCAAAATGAGGAATAGAAAGAGCAAGAATCTAATAGCAGACCTTCTCTAATGGGTATGCGGTTTTGTTACAGACTCCGCATTTATCTTGTGTGCCAGAGAAGAAGGATGCCAGTCTGCTAGGAGCCCTTGCCTGCCAGTAGAATGAAATGAACATTAAATTATATCAAAATGACCCTGGCATCTACAGGGCAAATAAAATCAACTTTAAAGCAATGGTGGGAAAGAATTTGTGTACCAGGCCATTTGGCTTATCGGATTTCCCAGCTGAAAAACCACCAAAGAAGCAAAACCTGTTAGTCAAAATGAAAAATGGACAAAACTAATGATGCTCGATCAGGTGGAGAGAACTGGTTTGGAAACGAAAGGAATCTCACATTGGAATTTCTTTGTGTAACTGCCGGTCTCCTTGAAGAGTTGTTCAAAATGAGGCTTGCAATATAGGACTCCTTCCATTGAGCAATAGCTGCTCATCTGTAAAACAAATTGCCGCAAGACATTGATTCATCAAGCTCCAATGCCTTATAATTCAAAGAAAAGCAAACACCCTTCACCCAGATATTTATGGTTAACCTTTTCATATATCTGATTTCAGTTCCATCAAGCTTTGACTGTCATATTAGAAATTGTATGAAATTTTAAAATTCTTGCAAAGGGCTTATCATACATACCACCAGAAGTCCGTTGCAGTGACTGCATTTGAAACAGGTCTTATGATAAGAAACTCCATCAGCTGATAATAAATCGATAAAGTGAACAGTCTTATCACAAGCCTTGCATTTCTCAGTTGTCCCACTGAATGCCATTTTCCTCGTGTTATTAGTCCAACAGCCAAAATAAAAGTTGGGTTAGAGAAGATAGTTCAGTGAAAGACAAAACCGAGTTTCTGATCTCTATCTCAGAAGGTATGAGATAGAAAACCAACTCAGAAATTTGCCTATTGCCTTTCACACCTTTGTTTCGCGAATGTTAAAAGGCAGAGTAAGGGTCAAAAATGTAATAGACAAAACAAGTGGAGGATATGAATCAACGCTTATTAAGGGTACGCAATGAAAGGTCCATCCTCAACTCTGTGGCATGTATAAAACTCCGTGCTCTAACGTCTAAGAATAGGGTCATGTTCCATGGAAGGACAGAGATGCAAGGTTTTTGCTGACCATGTTTTTCAAGGAAGATCCAGATATGAAAGATTAGTTTACAACCTGAGCACAGATGATCCTGGCTTTACAATTTATACTTATTATATCTAAATAAAGATTGTATACCATCAATTATAGCGCCAGTCAAGGTGCCAGGGGTGAGATTTTCCAATAGTTGTTTGTCTCTTGAATGAGTGGAGGAAAAAATATAATTGTGGATTAAGCAGGTTAATTGTATCATTAAATGAAAATTAAGAGAACGATTTTGTAACTGCTTTTCATGGAGCAAATAAGTAAGCAAGCAAAGTTCAAACTGAACGTGGGAGCTGAAGTTCCTTTCCATACATGAAAATACAGTAGAGGTTTTTTCTTATTTTTATTTGGCAAGGGTAGAATCATTTCATGACTGAACATGCTATCATACAAAAGAAGACAGAGCAGCTTCACTGGTCAGTCTTAAAGCTCTGTTAACAGCCTGGCTTACAAAAATTGGCCAGATGCATCAACATATCACTATACAGTAGAGTTTTAGGGAGAACAAATGACAAGATAAAGAAAGCCTCGGGAGAAAAGGAATGGAAAAGCTCATAGTAGAACATAAGTACAAGCCATATATTTCTACAAATTACAACTAGATTTATAAAGATAGAAGGAATGTATCTCACATATCTACACACAGATACTTTGACGTACACTGATATTAAAATGTCCAGTACAAACCAACAGAAGGAGAGGAAAAGAACAAAAAATGCCAAGAAAAAAGAAAAGCAATTATCTCTCTTTTGAATATCAATAAAGGACGTTAACTGCTGAAACATCCAAGAAATTTCTTCGGTGTATATCCAGTTGCACGAAATTTCACCGCTGTCTCCTCTATCTTGAGAAAATCTTCCCCTCGCTTGGCTTCTATCATTGCTCTTTTTTCTTCTGCTCCTGGTGATTCAGCCACTTTGTTTTCATTTTCTCAGCATACTCAGCCTTCTTCTTTCAGTTGCTCCTATCAAAACAAGACCTACGTCAAAGCACACAAATCTCTAAAACTTGTTCTAATCCAAGCTAGTTGTGCTTAATTAGGAGTTCAATGCCTGTAATCTTAAACTAGGGCTGATCTGGTAGCAGAAGGTTACCGTCAATACTTCTTTAGCTGTGCTTCTACAACAGCTTTCTTGGTATTTTCCCATGAACCAATAGCAGATATCTTCTTATGTGCCCTGATTTGACATTTGCATTATGTTAAGTTGCTTAAATCAAGTATGAGGTTTCATACCAGAAAAGGGTATTTAAAGCATTATGAAACCAAATAACAGATATTTCACTCCGGATAATAGAAGTACAGAAAATACTTTCTTCTCCTTGTAAAGGGGATAATGTGAATTGGACATGGCTAAGAACTTATATTGCATAAATCATAACTTAATGAGATTCTTTTTCCACCTTGTATACCTAAGGTAGGATGATATGTTTGGATTAGAGTTAGCCAGATTGTTTTATGTAATCATTTTTTCTATTCCCTTTAGATATTTTGCAGAATGGCAGAACTGAAAAACAAGGCGCTATATAAGTTCACAGATGGCCTCTTACTTGTTCTCTACTTTTGCCTTTTCATTTTCCTCCCATGCTTTAACTAAAGCTAGTCTTTTTTCTGTTTCAACCCGTGCAAGCACAGAATCTGAAATAATGATCAGATAAGTCAATTATTTTCCAAATAAATGCACCATTTCCAAGGACAGATGCTTTCAAATAAATGAGGCATATACCTCTAGTGTTTGGACTTTTCTCTGTAGCTACCGCTGCAACTTCTGCCATTTTCAACATGTAAAGAGGTCAGATAATGTTATATCATAGGGCAGCCTGTACATCATTTAAACTGATTGGCTGAAAGTTTCACATTCCAATCTGACTTGTTAGATCAATCAACATTTCAATGAACATTATGGATTCTGTATCTTGGAAATGAAATATATTATTAGCTACAAGCAATTTGCCACAACATGCAACCCATGGAACGTTGTGACCAGGTTCGCCTGGCATCAAATTAACATGCTTTGGCAGATGCAGTCCCTTGGCACAGAAAGAAGGAACTCAACAGAGAAATAGTTTGATTAAATTAAGAGTAAAATTAAAAACCTTGGTTGTGATATCCAAGGATCTTGCAAAAGTATGTTCGAATATCCTATTATCATAAAGAAAGTTCCCCTATACATGCAAGTAACCGAATAAGCAAAGCAAAGGTCAAGAAGGCCAAAGGGCGGCATTCCTTTCATCAGAGCAAATCTATTGAGCCACTGGGGTATGTATGTAGTATAACTAAAAGATTCTTCTATTTTGTGTTAAGTATTAAGGAGTAAGAACACAAAAAGGAAGTTTTAATGGCAGAAGGCCCACAGAAGAACTGAACAAGAGCATCCTAACTTGAATATTAGTCTGCATAAGATCAAGGGCTTGATCTGTTTCCCAATTCTACTTTTCCTTTAAATGAAAACTAACAGCAATAACTTTGATCTTTTGAACCCAGCTTTCCATAAAGGTAAAAGCAGATTCCAAAG